GAGGGGTTTAGACGCAAGTCACTGAACTCTAAATTTCATAACCTGGTCCAGGTGGGTGAGTTGTGAACGTTCTCAAACTGCCTCCTGGCAGCTCTCAAAGCATGCACCACCACCATCAGCATCACCTGGGAACTGGTCCACATGAAGAACCCCAGGCCCACCTCAGATCTACTGAAGCAGGGGCTCATCAATCTGTGCTTTAATACACCTTCTAGGTGACACTGATGCAATCAAGCCTTAGGTCTAGGGCCTAAGTCTCTAACACTGAACAAAGAAAATCCCTGCTCACCACATGAAGTTTACAGTCCAGTGTGTGTTATGGAGAATTAAAAACAAACCTTGGGGGCTGGAGTGATAGTACAGTGGGTAGGGCACTTGCGTGGCATGCAGCCAACCTGGGTTTGATTCCTGACATCCCCTATGGTTCTCTGAGCCCAATAGGAGTGATCCCTGAGCACCTCTGGGTATGGCCAAAAGTCTTTTTAAAAAGGAAAAAAAAGAGTAAACAAGTAATGGAATAGAGTCATTTTCAAACAGAATAAGATCAGTGAAGGAAAAGAATGCAGGGGCTGTCAAGAGCCGTGGCAGGGCAGTAATTTAGAATAGATGATCAGGAAGAAGGTGGCCCCAAATGAGACCTGAATGATAATAGAATGTCTGTCAGACCTCTCCCCCTAGAAAACACCAAGGGGCAGAAAATAACAGGACACTCAGGGGAAAGTGAACCACAAATGCAAAAGCCCTGGGGTAGGACCATATCTGTTTGGCCCAGGTGAAAAGCAATGATGCAAGCCGCATGCACAGGGAGAGGGGTGTATGAGATGGGCTTGGAAGTGGTAGGAAGTTTATCTCTTGCTCTTAGTGTAGGGGAAAGGCACTGTGCAGTTGTAAGCAACTTGGAAACCAGAATAACGTGACAATAAGCCAGGGAAGGACTAGCAGTGCTTGGATAGATTAGACTAAATATGCCAAGACTTACTATTGAGTGCAAAGTATAGAGCATCACACAGAGCATACTGGTTTTAAGTATACTCATGTGCAGGTAAACTAAAGGCACTTTGTTCCTGAAAGAATGAAGCTATGCATAAAATAGTGGTTATCTTTGGGAAGGAGTGGGTCATTTTATTCACATGTGCCTGAAGTGGTAAGAAGTGGATCTTTGGGAAGATGAGGATTGTTTTATGCCTTTCTGTACATTGTTCATGCATGTGCACAAAGCCTTAATTTTATTTAAGATAAATACTTAGAAATAGGGGCTACAGGGGCCAGAGTGATAGAACAATGGGTAGGGCATTTGCCTTGCACACAGCCAACCTGGGTTCGATCCCTGGCACCCCAAGGACTGTCAGGAGTAATTCCTGAGTGCAGAGCCAGGAGTAACCCCTGAGCATCGCTGGGTGTGACCCGAAAAGAAAAAAAAAAGATAGTTTGTTATAGGTTTTTTTTTTTTAATGAAGAATCCGGGCTGGAGCAATAGCATAGCGGGTAGGGCATTTGCCTTGCACACAGCCGACCCGGGTTCAATTCCCAGCATCCCATATGGTCCCCCAAGCACCACCAGGAGTCATTCCTGAGTGCAAAGCCAGGAGTAACCCCTGAGCATCGCCGGGTGTGACCCAAAAAGCAAAAAAAAAAAAAAAAAAAAAAAAGAAGAAGAATCCCCAGCACCAAAAGGCCCGAACAGCATCAGATCTTTGTCCTTTGCATAGAACTCTGGCCTGAATGATCAAGAATTACCAGAATGGACCCCCCAAATGGAAAAATGGTGATAGAGAAACGAGAGGTGACAAGGACCAATACCAAAGCAAGTCCATCTCTTATGATAGGGCCCTTTCTAAGATATCCCTGGAGTTACTGACAAATTAGGTATGACCCCCTCTGCTCGGGGTCAGGGCAAGACACCTTCCCACTGGAGAATTATGGAGCCCCATTCTTGTCCTGTAGCTCAGGTGACAGGTGTGGTTGTCAGCTGTATTTCTCTGTGACCAGTTTGCCAACTCACTCTGCTCCATCATCTTGGCAGCTATGAGGCCAGCATGCCTTTTACGTAATTGCATGATTGGGCATAAATGGAGAGAAATGCTTTGCTGGTGGGGGTGGGAGGAGAGGGAGAGTGGCGCATAGCATATGATTTCTCCCATCAGCTGGCTGTGTTCCAGCAAGGTCAAATGAGATTAGAAAGAAAACAGTGTCTGGTGTGCACTCCACAGCATCATTTACAGACAGGGTAGACGAAGAGGAAATAGTAAAGCAAATATTAAATGTCAGTCTTAAGATTCAAGGACAAGAAGCTAGGGTTTACAAGTGATACCTGGAGAAAAGAGAAATTTCTTTATTGGGGATCTTTTGAGCCCTGCAGATTTGATCTTCCACGGAGTGCAGTTACAAAGTGGTAGTTTTCTGATTTCTAGAAGTGCTTACAGAACCCAGAGGACATAAAACTATGGAAATGCCACATTCTACCTTGATTGTTCTTCTAAAGCTCTTTAAGAGTAAGAAGCTTAGAGTCACTTCCTGAAAGAGCAACGCTGAGTGTTGGGGAGTAAGTTAACCTCTTAAGACCAGGGAGGAAAAATCTCTCAGCGTTATGGACACAGATGGCCCTGACCCAGACAAGCCTACAAAGCTTCTATACGGATTTTTATTGGGCCTCAAATCTGTCCTTTTCTTCCTTTCTTAGACCCAGCCTTCTGCAGGCTCAGTGAGTTCACAGACTCGGTTTTAATCACCGCAAGAGTGCCTATCACCATGGCCAGGGTCTCTGCTAGATTCTCTGAGTAGGATCTAACTTGCGTGGGTCCTCAATAGATGGCTTTCTCAGCAGCTATTAGTCTCCTGGACTATTTCTTGGCCCAGAGCCCAAGGGCTATTTTGAGGACAGACTTTTAGGCTAGGTAATGTCCTTATCCCTTTACACACTAAATGGGGCCAATAAAGCATGAAATCTTATGATTTGAAATAGTGGCATGTATGTATATTTATTGAGTACACTAATCTAGATACTCTACAAAGAAGTTGTAGGGAACTTGAGGAAAGATAAAGCAAAATTGGGGGGGGGGGATGGATCCTTCCCAGTAATGTTTGGGAGCTCCTTGAGTCACTCTAGGTGACACTCAGCTCTGCAATGCAGCTCTGATGGCTCCAGCTCTGTTGATTAATGTCCTGCTTGTTCCTGGTGGCAATCAGGGGCCACTAGGGCTACACTCAGCAGGGCTGGGGCTGGGGTCTGTGGTGCTTGGGCGCAAACTCAGGGCCTCATACAGGTCAGGCATATGCTGTGCTCCTTAACCTCTCTTCCCTAAAATGAGATTTAAAAAAAATTTCAGTATTGGGGAGAATTATATTACAGCATGTGTCTTATAGAAAATGAATACTTTTATTTCACTGTAGACAGTAGTGTGACCAAACACTGCACAGGGAATGAAGAAATGACTTAATATTAGTAGCTAGGGATTATAATAAACTAAGAGCTCTGTGTGTGTATGTGCTTAAAGAGCGTTTCACAACTGGTTTTGATGGCGAAAGAAAAATAAAAAGAACGACTCATGTTTGCATTGCCAGATTTCAAGGCGATGCCATAGCACATTGGCACACTTGATTAGCGCAATAAGCTTGGGGGGAAGATGCGGCTGAAGTTCCTGTCTTCTTTGGAGAGGACACTCAGAATGCAGAGTGGCCTTGGAATTGTGGGGCAGTCCAGTCACCATGTGGCTGGGGGGAAAGATATCCTGGGGCAAGGAGAAGGTGGGGGCTCTGACTTGGGGTGCAACCAAGTGAGCCTTCGAGCTTCATCTTTAAACCTCATTACTCCATGAGATTTAGAAGGTTTAACAGGGGCCAGTAAGGGAGTTCCGTGGATAAGGAGTGAGCTTTGCACATAGCTGCCCAGGGTTGAATGCTCAGCACTGCTGAGCCAAGCCTAGCTAAGCCCTGAGCACCGTAGGGTGTGGCACCCCAACAAACCAAAACCAACCCCAAAAGACTTAATACACACAGTATAGACAGGGTAACAAGTAGTTAGAAGATGCTTATGGCAAACATTTTTATTTCCTTGTGACAGAAACCCCTTGAGAATTGTGCAAAGGAAATCAAGACTGTTAAAAGCCAACAATCAACAGCCACTGTCTCTGTGGAAGGGATAAGTTTGGCGAGGTTCTGGGGACTACAATTTGGAGAAGTCATTTTTTTCTGGGTAGGGAAGGAAAAAATATCTTTTCTTCCCTGTTAGTTAGGCAGTGTGCAGAGGCTGGGCCTCTTAGAAAAAGGCTCTGGGGGCTCGCAGGGAGTCTGGAAATCAGGTTTCTTTGCCCCCTGCCCAGAGAAAGGGGAAGCCATTCACCAGGCCGGCCTGCATCCACCTGGATCATCAGGTGGGCAGGCGTGCTCTCGTGCACTCGCATGTGTGCGCACGTGTACACACACACACACACACACACACACACACACACCTGCTCAGGGGTGTCCGATGACAGAAGCGAAGAGGAGTCTCTTTCATCTGACGGTCTCCTGATTCCAGAGAGACGTTTTGAGCCACAACCTGCTGTTCCCTGGGCAACCGAGGCCTCCAAATAAACAGGCTTCTGCTCAGACGGGCCAGTAGTCCACTGGGCTCAGGCATTTGCCCCAAGACAAACCACGCTAAAATAACCCCAGGGATAGTGGCCACCGCAGCGCCTGCGCCTGCCTCCTTTCGCGGCGGGCCAATCACTCTGCGTCCCGGGGCTGCCCTGCAGAGTTGGGCACCCGGGAGCTCAGGGTACGTCTCTGTGGGCGGGGTTGGTACGGGCTGTTGGAAAAAAAGCAGGTGCCCTCTGCTGATAAACAAGGCCAGACGGAGATTCCGGGCGGACGCTAGCTCGGAGCCCCCCAGCCGCCTCCTTGCTCCTCACACAGCCCCCGCCCCGGCACGGGAGGCCGCTCAGTGGAGCCCTGTTTGGAGGCGGGCCGGCAAGCTCCCTGCATGCTGTGACCCATCCCCTCTCCCCACGCAGAGCTGCCAGACTCAGGAGGTTCCGAGAGAGCCACCGGGAAGCAGTTGCAGCCTCTAGGGGGACAGCGACCAGCAGGATAGTGAACCGCTCCTGGTGGATTCCCTCTCGCTCTTCGGGTAAGAATTCAGGGCATCTGTTCTTGCAAAACAGCGCGGGTTCAGAGCACAGCTAGTCCTGCGTGTGTTTGAGTGCGCCGGCACAACTGTAATATCAGGTTACTTTGTGAGAAGAGAAAATGTCCAGTATTGGAAACAGATACTGCCGGCATCAGCTGTCTTGTAAGTGAAGCCCAGAAGCTCGCCTGGGGCTGGATTGAAACAGAGCTGCAGGCTGCCTTGAGGGCCTGGCTTTCCAGTGGCATGTAAAAATAGCACCTGGAGCTTAGAGACGCACCAATGCCCCTGCACCAAGCTGGTCCCTTCTTCATCCTCAGGCACAGCCAGGGTGCGAGCGCTGGTGGGGAAGGGGCTGCCCAGTGACTGCAGAGCTCAGTCTTGTGGCCTCAGTGAAGCTGGGGTGGGGTGGGGGGCATGGGCAGCACTCTGCTGTGTCACACGCAGGCTGGTGGCCAGCCAGGAAATCCAGCCACCTCCGAGAGCCTGTCAGCAGGCAGGCGGCTTTGGATGTGAAAGGCAGAGAAGGAGAATGGTGGTTTGGCGTGTTTGACAGATGCCATCTGATGGGTTCGCTAGTCACCTGGATGACTCCTAACCTCTGCTCTCCTCCTCTGCTCCGGGGAAGTCCCAGCTGAGGATCAGGAGAGCCACAAGGCACGTGACGTTAGCCACACCCACATCACCATTTGTGCCCAAAGTATGCCCGGTTTCCAGAAAGAGTTGCTCTGGGAAAGGCCAGGCCTCCTGGTTCTGGGATAGGAATCCCAGGCATTTCATCAAGGGCCCATTATTCCTAGCCCGAGGGAGAGCACGCCTGCAGGACTCTGCTGGCTCCCCACCCCCTTCCAGCAGCTTTGGTGACCAGCACTTTCCCTTTCCTTCACCACAGGGATGTGATTGTGTTTTCTTTCAGCAAACACCAGCGAAAAGACAGGAGCATCCCAGCCCAGGCTGTGCCGGGCTCACAGTGGGCCCAGGGGCGGGATGAAATGAGCCTGGCCTTGCACCACGGTGTCTGGCAACCTTGCAAAGCTCCGGCCAGCTGTGTCTTGGGGCTGTCTGCCGGAGGCCAGGGTGGATTTTGGTCTCTGTGCTGGGGTGGGGGTGAGGGGATGTGATTCACAGCCACTGGTTCTCTTTGCCTTTGTTTTCTTTATGTGTGGTCATTGAGCTTTTAAGGAAAGTCCCTTTTTGAGGTTGTATATCTGGAGGCAAGAGCAACACATCTGCAGAGGGCAGTGGGTGTTTGCCAGAAGACTGGCTTCCTCTGGACTCTGTCCTTTTCAGTATGACCCCAAGGATTTGTTCCGAAGGTACTACCACCACCCAAATTCACGAACGAAGCATTCAGTTGCATGGGAAGCTGGTAGAGTTCCAAGATGAACTAAAGAAATCGATGTCTGGTGGATTGAGTGGTTTGACTTGGCAAAACCCACTTATAACACTATTTTCATTGGTGTTGATGGTGGACAGGCAACCGTCACATACACCGTACTTGCTTGTTTTGCAGATTTGCATTCTGTAGGCCCTAAAGAAATTGTTTGGGATCAAGGAGTTGCCATCCCCATGGTGCCAGCTTCTGGGTGTTAGGGATCATGTGGAACGGAAGGAAGGTACGCCCAATCCACTGCATCTGATTGGGTTGCTTGGCTAACGCCATAATCCTTGATTTCCGCTAACCGGGAAAATAAACTAGTCATTCGTACCATGAATGACATATCTTGTATTAGGTCAATTTAATTGTGGCCGAAAGAGTACTTTTCCTTAAGAAAGGATTCACTAATCCATAAATGTTCATGAATACTGACAAGGCATCCCATCGGATACAGCCAACTCACCATAGAGAAGGGAGGAGACCAGCCAGCAGGAACCCAATGTCCAACTCCGTGGGATGCTGGGAAGGAATCCAAGCTATCGGAACATGGATAAGTATCTGGCCAGTCGCCTGCAGGAAGAGAAAGAGGGAGGAAATAGTAATTATTTGCTTAACTTCACTATTTAAGGGAGGCAGCATCCTACAGAGAGGCAGAATCTGGGATTCCAATTCAGACGTTGCTCCTTATTAAGTTCCTCCTTAGTTCCCAGACCATGTCTCATTTTGTTTTGTGTCTGACCATCTGTCATCTATAAGATGGGGATGATAAAATACCAAGTTTGTCATTGAGAGGATGGAATGGGTATCAGCTCATTGCCTAGTTCAGAGTGAGTATTAGGTAAGATTTGCTATTGTTGTCATTATTGTTGAAAGGTCAGTTTTGGAAGACCTGTCTACAATTCCATTTGTTCTAAACTCCAAGATGACACCTTGTAAGTGACCTCTAGGCCTCCCATCCGGGGCCAAGTGGAGTTTTGCATGCCTCTCGGACAGAGCAATAGAACATCTGCGGTGGTGGCATTCCTTGAGCCCTTTCCCTGCTCCGGGCTCTCTCTGCTTGACTTTCTGTGTATTTATTCCCTGAATTCTCCTAACAGCCCTGTCATGGCTATAGAAATTGAGGCAGCATGGGCATCAGAGACTAACTTCAGTTCCATGATGGGGGTGACTGTCTCAAGAGGTAGAGGGAGCTTGGCGAGAGAAACTCAGCAACTGGGAGTATCTGGAAACCCTAAAATAGTAGGTCAGGATCTGGAAGGTCTTCCAAGAGATGGCAGAACCTCAGTGTCTGGCCCAGAGGACAGTTTCAGCTTTGTGGACCTCATGGCCTTTGGGAACTGGAGGATGAGGATGGGAGAGTTTCCTGAACCAGGCAATGGGGGGTGGCCAAGAAGAACAGAACCGGCCCTGACCACAGGGACAGAGATCCAGCAAAGGCGCAGGGGGCCCCTGGCTCCTTCTCCTCCAGAAGTCGAGGTCAGAGGTCATTTTGAGCAAAGTCTGAGTCAAGGCTAGGAGGCTCCGTCTGTGGAGTGAGGAGGAATGACAATGCAAAGCTTAGTCACTATATCTGGGTGGGGTGACACTTACAGTGGCATGAAAGACCCGATTGACCAATTTAGTCTCTTTAAATAGAACCTTTAAAACGTGACTGACTACCTAAGATTCCCTCCCTGGCTTTGTCTGAGAAGAGTTGATGGGGCAGGTAGGGGGGCTGGTCTATCCTGCACCAGGGCTGGGCTGATGTGGGAGTGACTGATGGACAAGGCTTCTCTCAGTCCCTCCAGGACCTGGGGGGTGTGGGGGAGCGGTCACACTTTAATGTCCCGAAGAATTGCAAGGGAAACTTATTAAAATAAGATCAGCTTCCAGGGTTCTGCTCATAGAAATCCTGAGCCAGGCAGCCTGGAGGGAATCCAGGACTCTGCATTTCCAGGAAGGGGCCTGGAGGCCTGTGATGGCTCCAGCTCTTTGTTTTCATGTCACCATTCACGACCATGTGGAGTCCGTGGCCCAGATCTGTGGCAGCCAGCCTCCTCCTGCTCCTCCCCTTCTTCCTGGCTTCCCATCTGCCACAGACGAGCCCTGCAGTGTGCTAGCCATGACAGCTCACAGTGCAGACTGAGTTTCCCAGATCAGGCCTTGAGCTGCTCTCTCCTGCGGCCACACATGGATCCACGAGGGAAGGGTGTGGAGGATCCACATTTTGACAAGTGCAGAAACAGGCCCCGTGCTGGACAGTGGCTCGTATTCTCTCTGGGGCAGGAACTCAGGAGAAGCAGATGAGCAGGGCTCAGCCAAAGAACCACTAGGCTAGTCTAAGAGAGTCAGTAAACTCTCTTTTTTGTTTTTTCACACCTCAGGATCTTTCTCCAGGGCTCTCCGCTTGTTTGTAGGTGGTGCCAGGAGCCACTCCCTGGTCCTGTGCATGTAAAGCAAACACCCATCTGAGCCATGTCTGAGCCCCCCTCTCATCCCACTCCTTGCTCCCAATACATTCCTTCAGGAGAGGATGTGTCCTTGGCTTCCCTCCTGTCTCAGCGAGTCACAAGAGGTCGGGTCCCTGTGCAGGTGGAAAATAAGTTTGTGTCCTCGCCCCCAATATCTCAGCCTGTGACCTTATTTGGAGAGGGTGTCTTTGCAGAGATGAGGTCATTTGGGTGGGCCCTAATCCCCTATGACTGGAATCCTTGTGAAGAAAGGGAGCTGGACGCAGACAGAGGGAAGATGACATGAGGGCACAGGGGGAGGACGGCCATTCGCACGCCCAGGAGAGAGGCCGGGACAGCGCTGTCCTCGAAGCTTCTGGCGGAGTCCAGCCACTGACCAGTTCCGCAGCAGACCTCAGAACCGTGAGACAATATTGGCTTTGCTCTGTTGCTTAAGCCCCCTCCTTCATCCCCCCTGAACCCTCTGTCTGTGGGATATGTTAATCAGTTCATGCATTCATGCATATGACCCCCTAGGTTCCCCCCTCCCCGAGACCCCAAGGCCCTGACTTTGGGGTAACACTATGCTTGGCAGATTTGCCTTTGTTTTAACTGGGTATTTTTTTCCCTGTCAGCTTAAAAGATGTTTTTTGGGAGTTCATGGGTCCAAGGTTGGTGCGCAGGTAGGTAGATCCTTGGGAAGTTGAAGGTAGCTCTGAAGGGAAAAAGAGATGGAGACAAAAGATGAAGAGGGAAGAGTGAAGGGAGAGGAGGGGGAGAAAAGGTTGGAAGGAAGGAGCAGAGAGAGCGAGCAGTGTTGGGGCATTCTGGGGAGTCGCTGTGGCTTCCGGTTTGTGCTGCTCATCATGGGGCACCTTGTGGGCCAGAGAGCTAAAGTGGGGGTGCACAGCACCTGGAACCCTCAGTCCTTCCCCGCCTGAAAATTAGAGACCAGGTGGGGATCCAGAACCCCTTAACCATGCAACTCTGCTGCCTGGTGCTGAGGAGGTGAGGCGTGGGCTGGGATCTGGAGGTACAGCTGGATGCTGAGTGGGGGGCTGGGGATGGCAACCTTGGGAAGGTTACAGGCATGGGGACATGTGGGTACCCAGAGCCACAGGGAAGACCAGTGTGACTGGGCTTCAGAAGGGAAGGGGCCAAGCTGAGCTGAGGCTGGTCTTTAAGCTGAGGTCTCA